GGTTGGTGGGGGAGAATTAAAAAATACAACTATACTTACTTTACATCACTTTCTTATCCAAGAAAATTAAAAATGTGTACCACAATGTCTAATACACTATCACATCATGTTCTTGTATAATCTAATATTATAACACTTCTTTGAACGATTTACAATCATATTTGCGCAGAAATATTCAATAATGAATTGTACACCAAACCTAAATTAATCAATTTACAATCTGCCAGAAATAATATTGTATCCAAACCTAATCAATTTATATCTGTATTAGGTCCATATACTAAATGCCTGGAGTATTATACTGTACTGTACTATATATATATATATATTTATTTTTATACTTTTGTATAATCTAAAATACTACTGAACATAGTTTCATGCGCTTGTCATCCATCAATAGATCGATCGAAAGGTTTAAGTTCGATAAGATTTTTTGTAAATTTACTGAAATACCGCGGAGCGGAGGCGGATCGTGAAGTATGATTATTTTCATTGTTTTTTTTTGAGATTATACCTACAAGATTTGTTTGAAAACCATTATAACATTTGTTTAATTTACTAGAATTATAACACATGCAAATTTATTATAGCAAACAATTTGTAGTCTACCAAAAGGTTAACCGCACAAATTAAATATTCATGAACGCACATGAAAACTTATTAGCAAATAGGAAATTGAGAGTCCTAATTCCTATTTCACTATCATTACATTATTTGGCAAGTACCGGGCAATCCTAACAATTCCCAAATTAATTTAAACCGTGGGACAGAGGGACAATAGTTATAAATATTAATAGGCCGAGCGACCCGGATCATATCTACTTTAATGAATAACTAACGTAACGGTTAGGTTATTAGACGGGAGAAAATTATCAATTTCCTGGAGTGTCCCGGGATTGCAGTCCGGGACAACGCTCGACCCTTGACTTTAGAAATGTTTGAGTTACTAGGGTTGTGAAACCAGCTAACATAATAAATATAGAAGTTTGTGATAATGTTTTAATATTAATAGATGTACACGTGATAGTCAGGACAATCTCCAGATTATTATTTTTCTATTTACTAAGTGGACTTTATGTTGGTATACTTTCTCATAAAAAAATCAGACAATAACATTTTTAAGCTTACTTTAGAACACTCATATCAGAATCACTGACTAGATTAGTATTCACGATCATATAGGCTATAAGTCACGACAATAAACTTCTAGTCCGTTAAGCTAAGAAGTCATCCTGATTTAGGTAATACGATTTTATAAATCACCAGTCTTGAATCGCAAGACCTTGAGCATAAGCGTCTACGTGGGTGTCTCTCAACTATATTTGTCATCAAACAATTTTCAAGCTGTGTTCTGAATTGAGGAGTACCAGGAATATCCTAAAATTATTTTATGTTTACATCTTTAGGCGGCCTCACCATGTTTGATGTTATAGTTAAATAAAAAAATCTATTAATATGAATGTGACAACCCTAATCTCACCCCTTTTCAGTAGTATAATAACCAAACAACATAAAAGCAATTCAGCAAATTGTTATTGACATGTTAAATAGTTTCAGTGTCGGGATGTCGCTAGCGTCGCGTAATATGGGGTCACCGTCACCGATGTCCGCTAGTTACCATCATATGTCGATGTAGGATCTGGCCGGCCCGTTACAATGTTTCGGGATAATACTGGAAGTTGTAAAAGGTTATATCAAGTTTTGTAGTGATGACTAAGAACTGAGTAAGTTGTCAAGTATAATATAAAATTCGAGAAATTTATATAACAGGTCGATGCACCTGTCCATCAGTGTTGACTGATATGTGGTGACATAACGTCTTCTACGTAGTTCCAATAATTAAATATAATGGTTTAATATGAATGAAAATTTAATACTCGTGAACGGGTGATTGTGGGCACTGGTCTGTTTGGGTTACCAACACTGATTAAACTATTTGCTTTTTATTAAATATTGTGTGCATATCAAGTAGGTCTGAGAATCGCCCAACATCTACTTTTCATACCCCTGAATAATAAGGATATTTTTATTTTTTTAACTGAGAATCGCTATTTTTAAAACCAACTGTATAATATATTATTAATATGTATCTACTTTTCATACCTGACGATTACAAATGTTAAATTATAAATAAGGGTGCAAACTTCCTCAACTTCTTTAGAATAAGTCCTTATTCCAACCCATATGTACTGCTATCTCCTAGACTAGTGAAGTTTATTAGTATTTACAATGTACAGTAATAACAAAAATATTTTAATTTGTTTTAAAATAAATTAATTTATTAACTAAAATCTTACAGCGGTGTTAAAACGTGTAAGTCATTGAGGCGTATTTTGTCTCAAAAGCACAAAATATTGCAACAATACCATAACAGTAAAGTAAAACCCTTTGGGCTACCACAGAGCTACCAATTAGCCGTTCCGTTTACCGTCCGGATTACATTGGGCTCTTCACCAATTGGTCTGACTCTGTAATGAATTTTGCCTCAAGACAACTGACGTTACGTAAACGGTCGGGGGTTGTCAACTCTCAACCCCTTTATATAGGGTGTACATGATGAAAGAGAACTGTAGCACATCATTTAATGACAAAATGAAATATTATATTAATTACTTAGTTAAAAAATATTTCAATATCCTATTTATGTACCTACATATACTTATCAGCGTGGATACTTATAATACTTATATACTGATAATACGTGTCATTTAATTATCAAACTAGCTTCTTGCCCCGGCTTCGTACGGGTGTATATATTATAGAAATGTCTTGTTTTAAAGTAAAACACAGTCCTTTGTACTCGCTGATAATGAACATCCATGCTCATCCTATCATCCTCCAATAGTGCCCCGCCACCGTAAACCGTTAGCGCAGGCGAGTGAATCATCCATTAACATCCACTAAAAATATGTATATATAGGTAGGTTATATCTTATCCTGAAGGATATTTTCTTCGTCAAATAAATAATAATAATCAGCGCCACTCTCGAGCGACAGTCGGTTCATAAGCTTAATTACATCTCATCGTATAATATGATTTCCGGGAATCCTATAGCAATCACGACGCGTGGCCACCGCACGGTGTCCGCCCATAAATAATTCAACTCATCAGTACAGGATTGTGCCAATACCGCTTTGACTCGTCTGTTTACACGATAAATTGATATTTGGATGAATATTATTTTATATAGTTGGTATTATTAATACCTAGTAGTTACAATATTACATATCTACCTCATTTTCGCATGAATGCATTTGTTGTTAATATTAGTGGTTTACTGAGATAGATTGTAAAAAGTCGTCAGCGTGGATTTTTTTGACCACATTTTTCCTATTCTTATGGATAATAATAGAATAGTGCACCCGCCTGTACTAACGATTTAGCTGGCGGGGACCAGTGGAGGATGATAAGATGAACAAGAAGTCAGGTCAGTCAGCCCCAGTGGCGTAGCTACCTAGGGGCTAGGCGGGGCAGTGACACGGAGCCCTCGAACCCTTACCAGAAAATCTCGATCGAACTGAACTTTTGAAAATTTCTCCCATTTTCAAAATAAATATGACAAGTTGCAACCCAACTTCAATCATGGCAACTCAGTTGAGAGAAATTCGAAAGTTATACCTTCGTTATTCTCCTAAATTCTGTGGGTTGGCAGTGTTGTCAATTTGACGGATAGTGATATGTGCGTTTTAATAAAATTAATGTAATGTAATAAATCATATATTTATCACGATGGTTTCCAGGGAGGAGAGGCCCACGTGGAGGTCAACCTGACACAGCACATTGCTAGCAATGTAATTATTAGTCCACATTACCTACTAACAATCCCCTACCCAACAGTTTTACCAATTACAGTCGCCAAGTAGCTTGCTTTGTAAACTTTACTGTAAACCTTACTTTGTAACCGTTTACCGTCAGGTGGGTCGACAGCTTGTATGTCATTCCAGCTACATAAAATTTGTATTAGAAAAACTTGACCTTCATCTTTAATTTCTTTGATCAATAAAAAAAAAGCAAAACAGAATTTTTTTGTTCAAAATGTTATCTAATACATTACTATATATTTCTTAAACCAGTTAAGTAATTTTTGAGTTTATTAGTATATTGTACTGTTTCCACCTATTAGTAGTTTAGACGTATGCAATTATTATACATTGTTGATTTTTTTGTGTTATTTATATCATTATAAATTACGTCTAGTAATAGGTATACCAATTTTTACAGAGCCTCATATAGGTATTTATTACAATAATAATTAATAACTGTAAGTCGTTTAAGTACTAGCTAAACAGACCAAAATTCAACTCACTGCACCAATCGTTACGGCCAATTTATAAAATTCTTTTTTTATAGAACTCACTAAAATGATTTACACCAAAATACAAAGTCTCAGGAGCTGAGGCCCTTTCGACCTGAAACCCCAGCAAGACATTTAATTACCGTCAAATTTATCGCTGCCCCATTAATCCGCGACCGCTTCTGGCTGGGCCGGTGAAAAAATAAAAAACCAAATCTATCCCCTTGATTACAAGCTGTCACGTCGTTGGATTTTTTCTAAGCCCACAATTCTAATTAGTCACGTTGGTTTTGTAGCTCGAGCATCTCAAGTGAACATCCATTTTCTTAAATGCGCACTGTAATTGGCCCCCACCTCGGGATGTTGCCAGCCACAAAATTTATTGCTTAATTACCTCAAGAAAACACGTCGCGCCCGACATCCCCGACAGATGTTTTTTATTCGCGTGGAAAAACAAAAACGGTTTAAGAATGACATTAATTAATTCTTAATGAAATTCATCTTCGCCCTCCCGTGTTTTAATTTAAACGCTCGATTTATAGCTTGTACAATTTGTCGCAACTCCACCCCTCCATAGTAATTAAAACGAGAGCATTCGTTATTACATTTATTAGCGGCAACTTACACCAATAGTTTGTAAAATCTGCATTCGAAATGCAATGCTTTATGATTTTTATATCTATTAATAAATACTACAGTAATGCTAGAGATTTAGCAATTCAATATAAGCAACATTAGTGGCTAGTTTTCAACTATGGAAAAAACGAGCCAAAAAGGGGACAAATGTTTAATATTTTCTTTGATAAGGGTCCTCTATAGCAGTCTGGAATAACGGCTCTTCAAATCTTAAGTATCCGTCATCTGGTCGCACGACGTCTTGAAAGGACTTGTGAGTCAACTGATCGTTGTAGTCAATCCCTTGACTGTCATGATACTGGTGGCTATTAATTAAATTCCTATTAATATTTCTATCATTGGAGTTGTTTTTTAATTTTTCCTCCTTCTTCGGCAATACCGCTGTAGGCGTTACTTTCTCCTCGATTTTTTTATCTTTATTGACAGAACCAGCTCCGGCTAAATCTCTGTAATTCCTTTCCTCCTTCCTCAGTGGGGCGTAAGGATATCTGTTCCTAAATCTGTAATCATACCTTCCCGACCTCGCGTAAATATCGTCGTCGAAACGTCTGTAAGGATCCGCAGAGTATCTATACCGCAAGTCGACACTAGGTGGCGTCCGAACAACCTCAGGTAGATGAGCGTAGTATATAATCCTTTTAGGCTTCCTAGACACATAATTGTCTAGAGTATCGTCGTATCTATCGACTCTTGGGACGTAACCCGGCATGTACCGCCTTCGGTCGTATAAATCATAATAGGGATCGCGTCTGTATAAATCATCAGTGGGATAGTATCGATCATCGTAATACGGTCGCCTCGACTCCGCCGGATAATATACTGCTTGTCGGGGATATACGGGCTTGTACGGCTTATTTCTATCGTCCTCGTCAGGTCGGACAAACTCTGTTCGAATATCGTCATTTCTTGTTCTTTGAATCGATTGTTTATCGTTGCGAGACTCTGATGCTTCTAGCTGTTTATTTTGGGTGACAAAGTTAATCCTTGGCATTCTCGAATTAATCAAGTCCCCGGAAGGCTGCGGTGGTGTCAGAACCTCGCTTCTTTGTTCTACAACACGATCAGGATACGGCAGTTTAATCCAATTTTCATTGGATGCTCTAGCTCCACGCCCTGTTGGTTTATCTGTTACTCTCTCAGTCGTCTGGTAAAGGGGCAGTACTTCCTTGATCTCGGGATTTGTGATTGATATTTTAGTAGTTTGGTCTTCTTCTGGAGGTAGTGGCCCAGGAAGCCATGGTGTCTGATGGTTTATATTATTATGGGTCTCTTTTCGTACATCAGAATGAATGTTGTAAAATTTTTCTTCTTCGATTACATCACGGCGCCCCCTAGCCGTCTCATCCAGGCTTAGCTGTAAACAAAATGTAGTTATCTTTTATCTTACAAGTGATCTTTGCCAGCTCAGTAGTTACTGAGATCTATAAAAACTCTTTTCTAAATCTTTTAAGTCCAAATTATACACAGAGTAGATAGTAAATACCATAAAATGTTGGTTAAGTATTTTCAGAGTTTATTACGAATAAAATTTATAAAGTAAGATTTTATACATATATAAACTACCTCGGTATGCTGTTCATAAGCGTGCTGTATTTCTAAACAGAACACGGACTTTGTAAGAAGGCAGCACCAAAAAACTACAATCTTGGTTTTCTTCATTTTAGCCCAGATTTCTACACCTGAAACAATTAATGAAAAAAAATGTTTAACTAGCCTATTATTTATTATGTGAAAAACTATTTAAAATATGAACATATAGATAAATTATTATATCAATTTAAATTTAATACTGGCTAGTAATCTTTAAAATTCTCATATCTCTGCAAATGAGATAGCATCATAGAAAACTGAGAAGACAAAAATCATCGTTCCTAAGAATATCGTTCATTTCCTGTCCCTGACGGTCCGAGGCAGCGAGTTACATAACTCTCAAGAAGGGCGAACACAAGAGATCTATGCAAAGCTCAGTCCTACAACAAACGCCTTATTAAAAAAGGACACTATGTACATATTAATTTTATTTAATTCACCACCTAAAATCCAACGTACTTTCGCATTACAATAATAACATAATATACATATATTGACGCATTTCCCGAGCTAGTGACCAGCACAGGATGATGAAATCTAACGGAAGCGTCGCAGAGTCCGGCCAACCGTGATTATCGCAGTAATCAGAGGCCACAATTTGACTTTTGCCTAACATTTTTTGAAGGTAACAAAATGTAATTATTCTAGCCGTTCAATATGCATATAGTTGACATACTACATAGGTACCTATAGATACGTTTTGAATGATATTATTATAATAATTGTAATTTGTAATAGTTTTGTAGGTATTTTTAATACTGATATTTGTAACTCGTTTTATAATATGTGTAGCTGTACGTATTTACATAGCATAGTCACCGCCCCGAATAATTCACACAGTGCTATCTGATGCCAAGTTAAGTAGAGCTTGTTACGGGTTCTAAATAAGTGAAAATACATAAATATTATATTTAATAGAAAACACCTAGACCAATACAAAAAAAAAATCTATTGAAATGTGTGCAATATGCGAGGAATCGAACCCGCAACTATTGGAAGTAAGACGTAGAGACGTAGAGAGTGTATTAAACCGCTACATCACCGTTGCCTTTGACAAAAAATAAACTACCGATATCTCCCATTATATATCTTTCTTTTATCATGCAATAATGCATAATTATGTTCTGCTTTTAAAACATTTTTAAAATCAGGAGTAGGTATTTAGGTATACTGTAGTTATATAATATAATAGTTGTAATAATATAATACTGTATATAAATATATAATACACGTATAAAAAATTCCCACAGACGATTCAATGTTTTGTATAGGCAAGCGTGTGACTGACAGACAGACAGACGTTCCGCTCCATATGGGTTGGTTATTGACAATGAATATCGATCACCGTTATCCTCATGGTCTAAATGCCAAATTCAATGGACACAGCCAATAGTTAAGCTGACCTAGATTTTGGACAAGCCTAGAGCTACCATTGTCAACTAGTAAGTACATTTTATATAGACAGCGCAATACTTATAATCGCGAGTTCAATTCCCGATCAATATATATAAAAAATATGAAATAAGAGTTTTTATTGTCAATTTAGTAGAACAAAATTAGTACTTAATGTATAAAAGTATTTATAAAATTGGATGTAACTTTGTACACAAAATATAATCGACCAAATTAATTTATTTAATGTGGGTAGAAATAAAAAAAAATTGTATCTACGCAACAAACAACAAAATATTGTTTAATAAATAGTCCAATTTTGTTTAGTTGCCACCATCGTAGTATAAAAAAGTTACTAACAACCAGTTTGGTCGTCACCATATTTTAAGTTAACATTAATGGAATTTTAGGTGTTTATTACTAATAATAATAATAGTCCAATTCTATCACCCCATCAAAGGGAGAATACTAAAGAGTATATAGATAAATAATAATAATAATTAGTCCAGGGTTAGGACAATTCATACAGCGCCATGTAGTTCCAAGCTAAGCAATGCTTCTACTATAGACAAATGATATTAAACACTTAAGTACATTTTTTGTAAATATATAATACACATAAAAACACTCAAAACGATACAAACAATCATACCCAAAAATACAAATGTTTACACCGTGCAGGGAATCGAACCCGCGATCATTGGAAATAAGTAGCGATTAACGCTAAACCACCGAAACCGTCCGATTTTTATCGAAAGGATACTGAAAGGTAAATGAACATCATGCTTAGAGTCCCAGCAAAACAAGAAGTAACAGCGCAGACGGGGGATGCAAAGCGACGCTATGGGTGACGCAACGGATGTAGTCGTCACGGGTAAAACCATGGTGTACAGCTAGTTTTTTATATAGATATATGAGTTTAACCTTACGAGACCTTTATGGGAAGTGATCAACACGTGGCAATACAGGAGAATAGGGAAAACAGATTTAAAAAATAATCTAGGTCTTACCGACGATGTCTATTCTAGATACAAGATAGCCTGTGTCTATCACCGTGATATAATATATCGTCATATTAAATATTGTAGACAATCAGACACACTTGCATTTATTATCCCTAATAGTACTACGAATTTACACACTAATAACTAATAATATTAAAGTTTAAATAATCCTCGTATAAATAAACCCAAATATTTATGTTAAGAACTGTCTCGAACACTTCAGCTTTCACACAAAAAAATACGACGACACACACGTCGAACTTATAGCATCTATCTTTTTGCGGTCGTAGATAAAAATGTCCTATATGAATCAATTAATTTCTATTTAACAGGCGTTCACGAATAATATTTATTGCTATTTCTAAACTCTTATGAAACCAGAAGAATCATAGGTAATATACACTTTATACCACCATATAAAGGTGTAGATTACAGAATCCAATATTCCAGGCTATGTTGATCACGATTCTTTTGATACCATCTTGATTACTATTCTTCCCTATTCTATACACAGAATAACTCCAAATTATAACATTGAAACTACAATACATTAAGTATTCAAGCAGACCTCAGACAGCCTCGACGGCCTCAGTGGTCCAGAACACACCGCTTTACTTCGATTCTTCGCGCGGTGCAAACATTTGTATTCATAAGTATGATTGTTTGTATCGGTCTGGTGTTTTTTTATGTGTGTTATGTATGATTTACAAAAAAAAAATTATGTAGGTATTCACATCAGCGGTCTAGCACTCTTAACACAAGCTCTGATTAACATTGATGGAGCTGTGTGAATTACCGAGACCAAAATTATATTTACCAGAATTATTATTATAGACGAATTAGCATACAAGACCCGCCGTAGCAATCGTGATACTCGATATTAACATTGGAAATAAAATACATGGTTTTCACTTCAATTTGTATCCACTCTCATATATCTCTGATTGCAGACGTTCATTTAATAATTATATATTATTCCAATAAAAGATATTTTTAAAATGAAATCAAATAATTATTAATACTATTTACTGATTATCTTATATTTAAGTAAGTATTTAATTATAATTATTATATTGAAATATTAATTCTTTACCTATATACCTATATATACTATATTCTCTGGGTCAAAATCATCTAGGAGGTTTAATTTTTAATTTATCTAATAGTATAATATCGAACGGCTTACCTTTACATTCCACGAGAAGTCTCCATCCAGCTTGGGCTGCTGAACCACAATGTGCAGGGGTGCTCTGGTCAACTAGTTCGTCACGCAATTTGACCATTTTGTTCATCCACACAATTGTTGCGCGTGCGCATTGACACAACACTATTACTCTCGTTTTATTATGTAGTAGGGAAATTTGACGTAACGGATGAATTATATTATTTGAAAGTGTATTAAATTTTTTTTTCCATCCTGAAATACCAGATAGTAAGCGGTAACCATGGTCTTTATACTTAAAAAATATTACATACATAACGTTCTTAAATATGACGCCCATAATACCACTCTTTCGTTGCCGTTGGACTGATGTCATGCCTTCTATAATGTCACTTATCTGCACCCTACACCAAAACAGCTTACCTATTTATTTACCTACCCAGACGACTTTTTAGCTCATCCCCAGTAAACATTCTGATAAGAATTTGCATTACAATATATTGGTGACTATTTTTCAAGCTTTTTGGATATTTTGACAGAAAACACAATCAAAGCATATTTAACTAGTCAAAATAACGAAATCAAATCTACATAGGACTTTACTAACAGTAGTCTTATTAACTAACTCCAACAAAACTAAACGCTTTAGTTATTTTTCTTAACTGTAGTCGGATATCAGGCATTAGACAAGTGATACGATGGTGAATATAAATCATACGATAATGGACACACGGCGTAACGGTGGTGTTTTAATTTTTTATTTAACAATAGCGGTGCGGATGTGTCACCTGCCACCTCTACCACACCGTCCACCATCGGTAGCACGCTGAACTGCTAACTACGTAACTAAACGCTTAACGCTCACAGTGTTTATTACACTACTATACCAATAACTCGTGTGTTTTGAAATTAATATAACTAAAATCTGCGCTCAAACTCTGCCTGGAGCTTAGCAATTTTATTATCAGAACAAGTCACAAAACATAATATATATATATATATATTGTATGTTCAGGTTTTTTTTTATTTCGTTAGTAATGCTGACAATATAACCTATCACGGTATATCACGATATAATATAATATTTTAATTATTGGGTTCATTTTTTTTTCATTTTTCGCAGTTCCATCCACTTTTAAGAGTCAAATCCAATAGATGGACATTGTAATCGCTTTTTAGACTTCAGGGACTTTTAAATTGCGTATAAAATAAACACAGTTTAGTAGACATATTATAAAACTTTAATACTATTAATGTTTCATTGTAATTGCAGTACAGAACGTAAATGCATACACTTTGCAGTAAGACGATACATGTGACCATAAATAACAGAAACGAATTAAATAAAACTAAACCTTATAGTATTGAAATAATAGTGATATTCATTGAACATAATATCTCGAGATAAGTAAGGCATCGTTAGCACTAATGTTATGCAAAGCTAATATAAGTTGTTACCGTAATGTTAATTATTCATATAATAGATATTTTATACACTAAAAATATTTGAATTACATAGAGAATACATCACATCAGTGACATTAAACTATAGCAGCTACTGTATCGACTCTTTCTTAAGTCTATTCAGGAAACAAAACATTTGTATAGATATGTTAGTATAGTGCTTAACAATTTATATCTCTCCAAAAGTAAAACTACCTTTAATTTATGATAGAAAATTAATACTGTATAAGATTTTGACTGCAACAAAAGGTCGACTAATTGTGTGCTTGCTTGCCAGTCAACCTTTACCTTTATTGAAAGTATATGAAAAATACATATTAAATACTCTAAAACATGAATAATTATCATTATATTTATACACAGAACTCGATTATTAAATATTCATGGACAAAATTTTGCCTGTGATGTATTTGGGTTCTTGTTAAGTATTACAATTTTCTATAATGGCTAACAATAATTAATAATTTTCTCGTGCATCCGCAAGAATCGTTCACCCGACTTAGCAAATTTATTATACCTAGCTACAACAATTTACGACAATTTAAAACTATTTGGTTATGCAGCTACTTCAAATATTTCAGTTCCAAAATCTGTTTTTGTTATTTACACAATAACATAGTCGATTGTAGACTTTCATTGTATTTTTTTTATAAGAACGACAGTTATTAACAGAATGAATCCATGATAATTTTACAAAATTGAAGCAGTTATTTATAAGGTGTGTAAATCGATAGATAAGATGCCATTTTACAGCAAGCCTAAACCCATGTTTATTAAACTCTGTGACGCCCTAATGTAAAATAACCTAGTGACTTACAAAAACTAATTTATTCGAATATAATATTCATAGTTTAAAAACCATGGAATTTTCGCTTGTGATACGGAAATTGTATATAAAAATTGCAATAAACCTAGTTGTATATTGGCCATAATACGAGGAATATGACATATCATTTTGAAACCACTTTTATTTAAAATTGTACACCTACATTAATCCACATCGAATTTGAAAGCCTGTATATTAATAATTCATTTTGTTTCCCTGAAATATTATTGCAATCAGCATTCATCCACAATGTAAGCATAGTCTTATAGTCTTTAATTTTTTTTTTAATGTATAATATTATACAGGGTAAGTAAAGGATATACAAAGCTAAAAGCTTTTATCAAGAAGTCAAGAGGAAGAGGTTTATAAACCAATTTTCTGGTTTTATAAATCCTTAGTACAAACGTCAAAGTTACGTGATTCAAAGTAGCATGAAAAATATAAATTTTATTTTCGGATGTCCCCTATGTTTCATAGCAGAAATGACTGACATGAATACTCAATCTTGCTTTGGTATACCTTTCATGACTAACCCTGTACATACATGATGAATGTTGTTATACAGCATGTTTTGTCCATGAATACATTTATAATTAAATATCTATGTGTCGCGTACAGTTATTCCTGGGCGGCCATAGCGGCGGGAGCGGCAGGCTCGTTATTCTTCTTCTTAGAACCAGACACAATGTCGTCGATCCGGAGCAACAGTATTGCCGTTTCGACAGCTGTTTTATACACCTGGAAAAAGAACATTGGTTAGGTAATTCATAATTTTAATACTCCTTAAAAAATCACAAATTGCAAAATAAAAACGAAAGCGTTTTATAAACTAAAGTATATTTATTTAAAAAAAAAATGACGGTAAACCTCACACTAATTGAACCTAAGAGTATTGATAAGCTATAACCTACACTGTTTCGATTACAAATCTATCACTACCACATGAATGAGAAATAATAATTAAATTAAACATAGTAAATCAGACATGCCATAGGGTTAGGAAGTAAATATGTAGTGACTAATTACTTACTGCAATACTATACGCGACACGATGTAATGTTGCGGCGCGACCATGTCCCGCACTTGGCCGGTGACGTCACACTCACCTGCAGCTTGACGGCGAGCGGGGCGGCCGTGTCCCGCACTTGGCCGGTGACGTCACACTCACCTGCAGCTTGACGGCGAGCGGCTCCCAGTCGGCGAGCGGGGCGGCCTTGTCCCGCACTTGGCCGGTGAAGTCACACTCACCTGCAGCTTCACGGCGAGCGGCTCCCAGACGGCGAGCGGGGCGGCCATGTCCCGCACTTGGCCGGTGACGTCACACTCACCTGCAGCTTGACGGCGAGCGGCTCCCAGACGGCGAGCGGGGCGGCCATGTCCCGCACTTGGCCGGTGAAGTCACACTCACCTGCAGCTTCACGGCGAGCGGCTCCCAGACGGCGAGCGGGGCGGCCATGTCCCGCACTTGGCCGGTGACGTCACACTCACCTGCAGCTTCGACGGCGAGCGGCTCCCAGACGGCGAGCGGGGCGGCCTTGTCCCGCACTTGGCCGGTGAAGTCACACTCACCTGCAGCTTCACGGCGAGCGGCTCCCAGACGGCGAGCGGGGCGGCCATGTCCCGCACTTGGCCGGTGAAGTCACACTCACCTGCAGCTTCACGGCGAGCGGCTCCCAGACGGCGAGCGGGGCGGCCATGTCCCGCACTTGGCCGGTGACGTCACACTCACCTGCAGCTTCACGGCGAGCGGCTCCCAGACGGCGAGCGGGGCGGCCATGTACCGCACTTGGCCGGTGAAGTCACACTCACCTGCAGCTTCACGGCGAGCGGCTCCCAGACGGCGAGCGGGGCGGCCATGTCCCGCACTTGGCCGGTGACGTCACACTCACCTGCAGCTTGACGGCGAGCGGCTCCCAGACGGCGAGCGGGGCGGCCATGTCCCGCACTTGGCCGGTGACGTCACACTCACCTGCAGCTTGACGGCGAGCGGCTCCCAGACGGCGAGCGGGGCGGCCATGTCCCGCACTTGGCCGGTGACGTCACACTCACCTGCAGCTTGACGGCGAGCGGCTCCCAGACGGCGAGCGGGGCGGCCATGTCCCGCACTTGGCCGGTGACGTCACACTCACCTGCAGCTTGACGGCGAGCGGGGCGGCCATGTCCCGCACTTGGCCGGTGACGTCACACTCACCTGCAGCTTGACGGCGAGCGGCTCCCAGACGGCGAGCGGGGCGGCCATGTCCCGCACTTGGCCGGTGACGTCACACTCACCTGCAGCTTGACGGCGAGCGGCTCCCAGACGGCGAGCGGGGCGGCCTTGTCCCGCACTTGGCCGGTGAAGTCACACTCACCTGCAGCTTCACGGCGAGCGGCTCCCAGACGGCGAGCGGGGCGGCCATGTCCCGCACTTGGCCGGTGACGTCACACTCACCTGCAGCTGACGGCGAGCGGAGCCACAGACGGCGAGCGGGGCGGCCTGGTCCCGCACTTGGCCGGTGAAGTCACACTCACCTGCAGCTTCACGGCGAGCGGCTCCCAGACGGCGAGCGGGGCGGCCATGTCCCGCACTTGGCCGGTGACGTCACACTCACCTGCAGCTTGACGGCGCGCGGCTCCCAGACGGCGAGCGGGGCGGCCTTGTCCCGCACTTGGCCGGTGAAGTCACACTCACCTGCAGCTTCACGGCGAGCGGCTCCCAGACGGCGAGCGGGGCGGCCATGTCCCGCACTTGGCCGGTGAAGTCACACTCACCTGCAGCTTCACGGCGAGCGGCTCCCAGACGGCGAGCGGGGCGGCCATGTCCCGCACTTGGCCGGTGACGTCACACTCACCTGCAGCTTCACGGCGAGCGGCTCCCAGACGGCGAGCGGGGCGGCCATGTACCGCACTTGGCCGGTGAAGTCACACTCACCTGCAGCTTCACGGCGAGCGGCTCCCAGACGGCGAGCGGGGCGGCCATGTCCCGCACTTGGCCGGTGACGTCACACTCACCTGCAGCTTCACGGCGAGCGGCTCCCAGACGGCGAGCGGGGCGGCCATGTCCCGCACTTGGCCGGTGACGTCACACTCACCTGCAGCTTGACGGCGAGCGGCTCCCAGACGGCGAGCGGGGCGGCCATGTCCCGCACTTGGCCGGTGACGTCACACTCACCTGCAGCTTGACGGCGAGCGGCTCCCAGACGGCGAGCGGGGCGGCCATGCCCCGCACTTGGCCGGTGACGTCACACTCACCTGCAGCTTGACGGCGAGCGGCTCCCAGACGGCGAGCGGGGCGGCCATGTCCCGCACTTGGCCGGTGACGTCACACTCACCTGCAGCTTGACGGCGAGCGGGGCGGCCATGTCCCGCACTTGGCCGGTGACGTCACACTCACCTGCAGCTTGACGGCGAGCGGCTCCCAGACGGCGAGCGGGGCGGCCATGTCCCGCACTTGGCCGGTGACGTCACACTCACCTGCAGCTTGACGGCGAGCGGCTCCCAGACGGCGAGCGGGGCGGCCATGTCCCGCACTTGGCCGGTGACGTCACACTCACCTGCAGCTTGACGGCGAGCGGGGCGGCCTTGTCCCGCACTTGGCCGGTGACGTCACACTCACCTGCAGCTTGACGGCGAGCGGCTCCCAGACGGCGAGCGGGGCGGCCATGTCCCGCACTTGGCCGGTGACGTCACACTCACCTGCAGCTTGACGGCGAGCGGCTCCCAGACGGCGAGCGGGGCGGCCATGTCCCGCACTTGGCCGGTGACGTCACACTCACCTGCAGCTTGACGGCGAGCGGCTCCCAGACGGCGAGCGGGGCGGCCATGTCCCGCACTTGGCCGGTGACGTCACACTCACCTGCAGCTTGACGGCGAGCGGCTCCCAGACGGCGAGCGGGGCGGCCATGTCCCGCACTTGGCCGGTGACGTCACACTCACCTGCAGCTTGACGGCGAGCGGCTCCCAGACGGCGAGCGGGGCGGCCATGTCCCGCACTTGGCCGGTGACGCCGTCGACCCCGGCGGTGGCCGCACCTGCAGCATGTTGAGCCCGCAACGCCGTCAATGTGCGAATCGTGTTCGCGCCGCAGTTCTGGGCCAATGTGCGCGGAATGATCTCTGTGTAAACATCGCAAACTATTTATTAATATTCAAAGATTTATTTAGTTGCTCAGAACTGAGAATTTTATCCACCAGGAATGAACCTTTTAATCAATTATTCCATTGAATTTAAATATAAATATGGAAACTGTATGAATCTAATGGATTGACTCGACATTGCAGGCGTGAGACACACAGGCAAAAAACAACGTTTTAATGAAATTAATATTGAATTTCTTCGATATTCCGCTCTTTGTTCCTATTTTTTTCATAAATATACTTAAGACATTACAATTGAATTAAAAATTATTTAGTTCCTGGTTTTTCCTTATTTCCATTTGGCTCCTGGGTCACATTACAAACTATAAGTATGCGTCACCAATGTTACTGCTATAAATGCGGAAATTTGTGAGTGTGGATGGATGTTTGTTACTGTTTCATGCATAAACTACTGAATGGATTTTATTTACACTCTTAAAATAACATAGCTTATGTATATATAAATTTCACGCGAGTGCAATCGCAGGCACAGCTAGTATTGAAGTTTTTTCACATTGAAAGATTCAGCTCGATGGCAAAGTGAGTAAAAATTTCACTGATATTGTATACGTAAAAATTTCACTGATATTGTATACACTTTTTTATATTGAGCAGTTCGGCTGGATAATGAAGTGAGTAAAAATTGTATATAGGCAGATGTAACAGATACGTGTGGCGTTAAGAACCACAGATGACCATATATATATATTTAGTGACAATGCACTGACCGAGCGCGTGTGCGACGGCGCGGTAGGGCGAGGCGTGCGGCGCACGGGCCGCAAGTGCCTGCGACACCGCCATCTCGGCGGCTCCACCGCCCGCTACCAGCCGCGGGCACACCACCTGCGCAAAGATCATATTTTTATAAGGGTTCAACAACAAAAAATAGAACAACCCGATTTGCTACCCCTTGAATAAGGGACATTCACAAAATTGCTGATATCAACTTTTTTCCATAACAAATGAATTGTTATTATTTAGTTGTTTACAAAATTTACAATATTATTGGACTAAATCAAATAAAAGTGGCTAAGGTTTAAAATTATCATTTACTCACCATTACCATATATGGAATGTGAAAGAAAATTTAATGAATGATCAAACTTTATATACTTTTTTCTTCACTCTTTCAATCCTTGAATCCATAACAAATATGGCGAATTAACTTGAACGCAAGAAAAGAGTCTCTGACGATATTTGTATTATAAAATATTGCAATATTCATTCGTGATATACTGAAAATATACCCTAAAAAGCCGTATTTTGCCTAGTGTTTACGTGAGCTGGTGTTGTGGACAATTACGTCAAGCTCTGGTGATCTAAACTCAAGCAATTGTTGCTTGCGGCTCGTGACCCGGCACCTGTACAGCGTGTGAAGTGCCCCCGAGTCAGGCTCAAGGTCAGTGGTGTTTTACATTACGTTTTTCACGGTGGCCTTTGGTTCTATTAAAGAACCTTTGAGGAGTATAATTAGTAGGTGTATCCATGAGACATCCGCGTACCTAATTGCTAGGTACATATGAAGTAAACCCCAAATTGACGGCTATTTACACGCCTCTCCATGTCTTATGGTTTTAAAAATAGTGAGAGAATGTTTATTCAAAAAGCTGGTTAGGTACAATAGCTTGTGGTTGGTTGCTTAATGCATAAGTCATAAAATAATTGATTTATTTACCAAATTTTTAGCGACATGTAGAGCATCCTGAAGATTCCTCTCAATCTCATTTAGTACATCCTTGGAAGCGCCACGTAACAATATAGTACAAGCCTGAAACACAATACAAATACTTTTTTAATACATTAAGTACGAAAGACAATGTGACATGGACATTTAGATGGGATCTGAAAATGGACAAAAGTAAAGAATGGATATTCCTTAGAATACACTATGAAAACTTTTAGTATATGAATCACCCCTCAAACCATAAATTTTAAGTTACAAGATAATTTTGAAAATAAACGCAAATAAAACCTTGACCTTAGAATATTATATACATGTATACATACAATATATTCAATTTTATATGTATACATGTATAATATTCTATTAGTTAATAATCAGATTCGATTTAGCAGTGCTTTACCTCCGATGATCGTGGTTTAGATTCCTCCCACGGTCTAATCTTTTGTGTTTATAAGTATAATTGTATTGCTCTGGGTGTTTTCTATATATATTATATAAGTATTTACAAAAAAAAAATATCTAAGAGCTCTCAGTTGTCGAGCACCCATAACACAAGCTTTGCATAGCTTGGGACTAAAAGATGCTGTGTAAAATGTCCAGGGATATTATTATATAAAAAACTAGTTATACTTACTTTGCCCCCTGGACTTTTACAAACAACATATTTGTGTAAATCCATTGTGTAGTTTAAAAGAAAGTGAAACAATAGGCAAACAGACGCGTACTGTAACTGCTTTAAACTACTAGAGACCTATCCTTCTGTCTTCCATGAACAAACTGGAAAGCAAGATGGTGGCAGAATTAGGTAGTTGATGGACTCTACTCACCTTGGGGTTTTTACACTCGGTGATAAACGTGAAGTACTCATCACCGAACTTCTTGATCTCGAACTTGCCTGCGCCGGTACCAACGTCAGTTTCCTTGAGCTCCTCAGTGCGGTTCACGATGGTGGCGCCACAAGCGCGGGCCAACCGATTGTTATCCGTTTTGCGTAATCTGTATTAAAATATAAAAATAATTATTTTCATGTAACTGGAATGGTGAACTGGAATGTTTAAGAGAATACAAAGATTCGAAATGTGAATTTACAGAAGTATGTTAAAGAGAGATACAAGGAAAGCCAGGGTTGCCGAGGACCAGGCAGACGTCGTACTTCATGGTTGAAAAACCTCAGGCAGTGGATTAGGATGAGCACCAGATCCTTTTTCAGGACCGCCGTGGACAAAATATAGATCTCTATAATGTTCGCCAACCTCCAATAGGAAATGGCATCTACAGAAGAAGAACTGGAATGATAAATTAGCTGACGATCCATCTGATGGTAAATGGTAACCGTCGCCTATAAAGGGGGGAAGCGGATTGTTAGTAATGTGGACTAATGAACCCATTGCTAGCAATGTACCATGTCAATAATATTTAATTATGTTAAACACACAACTAAATATATTATGATTAACTAATAATGTCTAAGAATTATTGATTAAATAATAACCAGAAAATTAAAAATTGTAACGCTACAATAATAAAAATAAATTTTGCTAAGAATCATCTCAATAACATGAGTTTTCAAAAACTCCTTTGTATTACGTTCCCATTTAGTACATCATTTAAAAATTGATATGGCATGTTTTTTAAAGAATAATACATCTAAAGAGGCATCACAACTTTACCCCAAAATTAAAAAAACAGTACAATTAACATACACACATTGTCTCTAACTCCAAACCTACCTCCTAATAGCCGTAATGCCGGCTTTGACAAGATAATGCTGTGCCAAATCTGATATGCCTTTTTCTGTAAATACAATATCTGGTTTCAGGGCAATGATGTCCTCGCATTGTCGCTGCACATGCTCCTCTTCCAACTGCAGCAGTTTTGTAAAGTCCTATAAAAACAACAATTATGCTGGTTAAGTGTAAGTCAGACTACAAACATACATCAAGACCAAAACAGTCCTAACACTGGTCATCCACACCTCCCTGTGGGGGGTTTTGGGTGTTGGTGCTCATCCTCCATGGATGTTTCTTATGGAACATGTTTCAGATTCCGATCCATACTAATGGTATAAATGCACATTTATAACATTAGTATGTGTCTGGTTGACCTTTCTTTTTACAATAAAATAAGCTACACATATTTTAATTAAGCTTGTCATGAAGATAAATTGAATCATAAGAGCTGATGTTGGGGTCAGCCTTCACGATGAAAACCATGTTGTGCTAAATGGTCTGGTCTGTAAATATAAACAAGTGAAAGAGCTGACACAGGATATCTTTTATCTATTATCTTGTCTAGTCTAGCATATAAAAAAGGTACAGAATGTTTCCAACACACAGAAAACTAACACACAGTAAATGTGTTCTAACCTGTTCACCAAGAATCTCAATATTGGTTTGACTTTCTCCCTTCTTGTACTCGAGAGGACAGTCAAGTAGGACAATGCGCGGGTTCTCAATGTACCGCTTCATTTTAGGATGTGTAACATCCTTGTTGATCATCACACCATTAAGCACACGTGACTCCTCTATACTTCCACCAGGGATTTTTTCGATTTTGGCATAACTGTAAAAAAAACAGCAATAACAGGTATTTATTTTTTTTATGAAACATTGTACTTTTTGTAATAGACGATTATAAGACCTCAAATATTTAAGACCTGGAACAATATTTGGCAAAGATTGATTTCTAAAGTCAAAGTAATATGTCGCCTCCACCTAGGACATGTCTGTTTTCCTACATTTCTATGTAAAACAGTTCATGATCACTGAGCGAATGTGGCTTGGATGAAAAAACTGTGGAACATCTTTTATTCAATTGTGCATATTTATTAGTCAATTATTATGACATAACTACCCCATAATTTCCCAGTCCTGCCATTGTCTTATTTCTTTTAATCTTGTCCCATCCGAGTTTGAAGAGGTTTTCATTATAGTCAAATTATTAGCTAAATTTATAACTAATATTAATCTGAATTTTTTTTTCTCAACTAGCTCTCTCCTCCAATTTAATATTAAATGTATTATACTACTAACTAATGTCGTCCTCTTAGTAATAAAAATCCTATTAATCCTTGTTTGTTTTGATAATTTCATTCCATTAAGATGAGATCTTTAGTCAATATGTTTTACCAGAAGATTTAAATTTATATAAAGGTAACTCATATAAACTCACATAAAGGTTCCTGTACTAAGATATACAGGCAATATATACAAGGGTGTTGACTAATTTAACTTTAAGTTAACTGTAAAAGACCTACATGAATAAAGATATTTTGATCTGATTAATAACAATTAACTAAAATAATATTGTTTGAAAGGTTTACTCACTTCTTAATATCCACCTCAATTCTGCCATTATCATTCACAGTTACAGTGTTCACAGCATCTAGTGCAATCTCCACAGCCAGGTTAGACCAGCGGCTAATATACTTTGTAGCAACACATGATCTGATCTAGAAGTAAAAATGTTAAAAACTGATTACCACATATATAAGTATAGTAGACAAATAAATCCACAAAAAATTTTATCAGACCTCCTATGTTGATATAATAATTATAAGGTTTTCTAGACAGATCAAATTTGAAACAGTTGTCTTGTTATTTGAAAGATAAGATATAAAAACTACTATATACAGATTGTTGGTTTTCTATGTATGATATTCTCATGACCCAGATGAAGCAATATGTCTAATCTGACTCCCAATCTGAGATTATTACATGAGTATGTCATCACAACATTAATGTTAACTACTAATAATCTAAGAGCTTGTAAGCCCTGTAGGTCTGTATATAACTGTCTTTCTATGAGACTAGAAATTTCTTTATTGAGTCAGAGCATGCTAAGTATGATTACAGTCCCTACACCTGTCTTTAAGATTTTAAGGTCAGGATAGTAAATCACTTAGCACATACAAACATTATCTTTGATATTTTCACTTGTTATGATTTAAGAGGACTATTACAAAATGATGCCGCTCAACTTTAGGTTTAATCGTATGGATTTACGCACACACACAGTAATACACGCACACAGACGCAAATAACCGTGTAGCTCAATCGGTGTGGATTTAGTATGAACCATTTTGATCCTTGTAATATTTTAATTAATAATGTGATATGTTTTTACTTAACTGAGTAACATAAACTATTTATTGGATTTTTTAAATAACGTGATTTATCTTAATTATCAAAGTGCTAATAATGACCATATTTTTTTATTATATTATTCCTAGAGGGTTGAAGTCAGGATGCTGGCCGATTGTATAACTAAAAGCCAAAACCTTAAGTAATATGAGTAACAAATAATTGGGATAAGGACAGGAAGATGAAATTACTATAACATAAATGTACTATTTAATTCTTATTATATATTAATTAAATTTATTTATTAATAAATACAAGATAATTTATTATAAGAGTCGGATGCATTATTGCCATATTCACTTGTTCTAAATATTAAACTTAGGCAAATAATTATTTTACTTATATATAATAGTTGTGTTTTCATGGCTTTATTTCGATTTAAAGTTCCCATCCATATATATATATTAGATGTGGCCGCGACTTCGTCAACGTGGTATAATGAAATTGACCAAATAAAGGAAATATATTTAGATTATAACCCAAAAAAGTTTCATTGTTTCACTTAAACAATGATATATATTTTATACAACCTTTCATCTCAGCTTTCCATCCCTTACAATCCTTTTTCGCACTATAAAGTAGTCTATGACCTTTCTCAGGGTATACTATCTGTGTATATGCATACCTATCTATATAGACTATCTGTGTATATATATGGCAGTGAATTTACAGGGTACAGGGGAATAACACCTCAGGAATAAAACATCACATTCTCAGGAATGGCAATGCATGGAGGGCCGTCAGCTTGTTTGCCATTCTAAGTTGTATAAAAAAACCTTCAACTGCTATCATTGCTGTTTCCTGCATCATTGACGTCGCCGCATGATTGGCTGATATTGCAGCTTCTCGTTCTTGTTTGGCCGATTCTTGATTCATGATAAATAATTACATGTTAATATCAAAACTTTTTATAGATTATTACAAGACGCCTCATTGATTATATGGAATGAAATCACCATGAGCTATAGAGACTTTGGACAGAACCTTAAAAGACCTTAGAAACACCTCTGCTCTCATTGGCGGGATTACTTTTATACTTTTGCTGGAGATTTCTGAAAGACTCTCTGTGTCATTAACATCGTCTCCCTTATGGACTTTAATTGAAAGTTTAAAACTACTGACAAATTTGAGAACCCATTTTTACGGAAGCACAGATAGTGATTTCCCACACTAACTGCTCAAACTTGAGGAAGGAATTTCTTAAAAGCATGCTCCAATCATGAAGTTTAAGCCCGCCGAACATGTGCAATGGCGTCCCATTGGATATGTTGCTTACTAAAGAATTGAAAGACAATTTAATTGTAGACCATTATAACCGGTACGTTAGCTGGGCAACCAGCTCATATACCAAGAATACCGACGATTCCAACTGATCTGCCAATACCATTTTAAAGTTAAAATATCATCTACACATGTAATAGATCTATGTATGTTTTGATCTTAAAAAACTACGCAGATTTTGATTCGTTGTTAACAGAATAGATAGACTCAAGAGGAAGGTTTATATATAACGTCCCAATACTGTACACGGATCTTTAAACGCGCGATAACCTATATATCCCATATTCACGCGGGCGAAGCCGCGAGCTAAAAGCTAGTCTCTAAATAAAAACATTTATAATGTTGATTTTTCACCCAAACACGCATAATTATTTGACATAACTGTACAGTAATGAAAGTCCAACGAGTATAATAACAGAATGGCTGCAATTTAGAAATATGTATCTGTATTGTGTAAAATAAAATAAAGTAAATTGGATAAAATATCTCTAAACATTAAGGAATATAATTTATATATAATTTGGTAATTTATTTACAATCCACATTGCATACTAGATGATATACACTATATAACATAAGACAGATGTACGTAAAAATAATAATGGTATTTTTATAAACAATAACCCTATTTTAATTTAGAAAAAAACTACAAAATAAACATAAAGTAAAATTGGTTTACATTTCCTTATTTTTTTTTTCTCTCAGATAAGCGTTATTTTTAAAAATACTAAAATGTTCTCTTTTTTAATTTTAACAATTAATTGCCATTAGTGTGACGAAATACCATGCTCTTGTGCTTTTTATAGTGCAGCAGGGTAGGTAGGTTTTATTTGTAGCATAACTGTACTTTTGTTTTGGCATGCTAAAATAAATATTATATATATATTTAACAACAACTTTAAATTAATATTCGTAGAAATAAGTATATATTAGCAAAATTAATTAAATATTACTTAAATTATCAAAATTGTTTAGTCGCACTATACTAATGTTCACTGGCAAATGTTTACGAATGTCTTATCGTAGCGGTGTCGTAAAAAATAGTATAGGTCCTAACCCGACGAGCGCTAGCGCATTTTTTGAGAATTTACTTTTGGCGCAACGGAATTTATACAACTTTCAATTATTATCGTTGTTTATTTTTTTCTTAGAAACTTATATTTTTTTTATATTTCTAATTTACAAGTATATTAACTTTATTATTATGTTTTTTTTTATGCAAAAATTTCGTTGTATTTATGAGAAAATTAGAAATGATTATGGCAAAGTTTTGTTGAAATTTCGGGTTTCATTATGATCAATTTTTTAGATATTTAAGTTGAAAATGAAAAAAAGGACGATGCTGTCTCAATTTATAAAGTAATTATCAAGTTTTAGTAAAGATATCATATCAATTTATGTTTGTCTATTAATGAACGACGACCCCAAACTTCTGTCTCTTAGCGTTTTTGAATAAACTATTTTAGAAATTAGGAAGACTAACAAAGAGAAAATTAACATTTCAAAGATGTTGTTTTTAAGATTAGATATCTATCTATATAATTCAGGAATCAAAATGTATATCCGACTCTTAATTTCTTAGAACCAGAACCCCAAAGACCCCGCTTTTACGCCAAAAAATGTGAAAGGCCTCTTAAGGTTCATGTTTGAAGTCATCACATAGTTATTTTTGAAATTTCATATTAACTAAGCCCATGACTTCATAACTTCGTAAATTTCTTGTTTATAAATCAATTTAAATAAAACATTATATTTGATATGCTTACCACAATAGATTAGTAGAAATCATATCCAAATTGGTTAAGACATTTCTGAGATTATCATGCAAAAAAAGTACATAGACAAGACCAGAATTCTAAAAGTAATCATTTTTCATCATTATCATTTTTTACAGTACATAAAGTCCACAATAACAATCTTTCATGTACAGACAGCAATCAGTTACAATTTTATCGTATGTATAAAAGTGTTACTAAATATTACTAATATTTTAATTGGGGGAATATGATTTAGTTAAGAATCTTACCACTTCTTTGAGTTTGGCTCGGTCATTCAAATCTATTGGTATAGAAATCTTATCATGCAGCAGTTGGACTGCATCCTCCAGAGCCTGTCGGTACTCCCGAATGATAACAGTTGGGTGAATATTCTGCACCAAGAACTGTTCAGCAACAGCCAGCATCTCGCCAGCTAGGACTATAACTGATGTGGTCCCATCTCCAACCTAAATACAAATATAACAATACAATCAATAAACTACCCGACCAGAGAGACATTGTCCTGTCTTAGTGAAGGTACCAACTGTTGTGTGAAATTAAAATAGTTGTTAAGTTTTCAAAATAATTCCGATTTTGTACACAATTTTTTTAATTTTTCATAGGAACCTTTGTAAGAACCTTCCAAAAAGCGTTAGAAAACAATAAAAAAAAGGATGAACGAAGTCAGTTACGACATTCTCAAGTTTCTTGAGAAACTTGTTGAAACTTGAGAATTTTTTATTGTATAAAATTTAAATATATTAATATTTAAATTATTATTTTCTACTCTGTAACGAAATGATAAAACAAATACACACATATATATATATATATATATATCACCTTATCTTTCTGTTCTACTATTAAACAATTTTTGGATAAGTATTTTAATGATAATAAAATACTTATCCAAATAAATTGTTTTTGTACAGATATTTTTTTTTATATAATATAATAATATATATATAAAATTCGTACAACTATTTAGTTGCAATAAGATAGAACATAACGACCAGACATATATACTTCTCCACAGCTAAAAAAATATATAGTTTAATATTGGTTCATTTGAATATACTGAAAAAAATGACTAATAATTTCTAACCTCTTCGTCTTGTGTTCTAGCAATTTCGATCATAGATTTAGCTGCAGGATGTTGCACAGTGATCTCGCGGAGGATGGCGTTTCCATCGTTGGTCATCACAATACCTCCCATGGGATCCATTAACATTTTCAACATAGCCTGAGGCCCAAGGCATGTTCGTATAACATCCGCTATCGTCTAAAATAAAGATAAAACTTTAACTTTAGACACAAAAACCTGTTTTTTAGAATAGAAATTTTGTTTAAAGTGCAATTAATATGGATAATTACTTTTCCTGCATTAATATTTTCGAGCTGAACCTTCCGACCGGACTCACGTTTTGTATTTTGGCCTGAAATTGAAAGAGAATTTAGACAATAAAATCAACGCTTTTACAAAGACTTGGGAAAAAGTATTACTGTACTCACTCAGGACTAAAATTGGCTGTTGACTAAACATCTCGATATTATTTTATGCGAATTCTTTAAGTTATTCTCTTTGTGATCTTCAAAATCGTCTTTAAAAATCAGAATCGCGTGGTGTTACTAAAGTTGCCAGATCGTGAAATACATACTACCACCTCGATTAAAACCAAACAAAATTGTCGCTTCATTTGATGGAAAAATTATATTCCACTTCTAATATCGGTGTATATTTAGTTTTGTGATAAATGACATATATTTTAAAACTACTTAAAGAATTGGAGTATTTTGAGAATTAAGTATTATACATTGGCAACATTGTCCATTAAAAAAAAAACTAAATACTTTTTTTACAGCAATGATTAGACGGCAAAAACCAAGCAAAGACTTTACGTTTACACATAAAGTGAAGTGAGAACTTAATTATGGAAAGCTGTAACTAAAACATTAATTGTGACATTTATTATACTAAACGGATTAAAGTATACAATTTTTGAATTGTCTACGGGCTATTTGCAAATTCTGAAAATTGCGTGTGAAATTTTCTTAGAATAGTAATTTCAGACAGTAAAATCATTACTTAATAGTGCTTCAACTGTTTTATTAGGAACATTTTTTTGTTCTGAAGTATGGAAAAACTTGGTATACGTATTTTTCGTCAGTCATACTGACGAAAAATGCGACTGATTTGTAATTATTTAAAAGTAAATTATTCTAAATATTCAATAAAATTGTTTATTTTAGAATTGTAATGCTTTTGGCATCATTATAGTCTGTCTATGGCCGGTTTAATGACCTGTTTGTTTATTTCTATATTGAATTGGATGGATTGAATAAGAAGTATCTTATCAATATGATAATTCTATTAATATTGTAAACGCGAATGTTTCTGAGTGTGAAAGGATGTTTGTTACCCTTTCACGCAAAAACTACTGAACGGATTTTGATGAAACTTTACAGTGATATAGCTTGGGTATATATCAGAATAACATATAGACTATATTTCACACGGGTGAAACCGCGGGCATAGCTAATATGAAATAAATTCCGAACACAACTATCTATTTCTTAAGCTTTTAATCAAATTTTATTAGTTTTTTTAAATTTAAACTGGCATTTATTTCTATAATAGCCACTTTAAAATAGTTACATAAAATACAAGTCTGTTTATACACGCCAAATAATCAATTCATGAAATATAAGCATACAAGCTGTCCTCTTGAACAAGATTCGAAACCGTGTCTGTTATTTTTATGAAACACGCAACAAAAGCACGCTGTAGTTATTTGAACAAATTATAAAATTAAATACATACAGTGCTAGTTAGCAAGTGAAATATTGGCAATAAAAATATATAGATGGCGCTGATAAAGTATGCTTTTATTCGATTCTATTAGAAGGTCGCAGAAACCTCACGCTACGCTATTTGTTAGTTTCAAAATTATCCGTAGATTAATTACTCTAAAATAAATAATAGAATTCTATAGAATAAATTAATTATATAATATTAACCTCACTGTTGTCATTATTATTCTATTTATATATGGGTACCTCTAGGTATACCTACCTACTAGCTAGCTATCAGTTTTCCTTGGGTTCTTATATTATTCCATTTGCCGCCTTGTTTGGAATGCAGTTTTACCTGAATTCTAATATAATAAATGCATTGGTTTGGCACACGTAAAGATATACCCGACCTGACTATTTTTAAGAATCGTCTGTCATAGTGCATAGATGCCGCCAATGTACCTACTGATAGCCCAGGCATACTACGCGTACCTGTATAAATATATCTTAATTGATTTGTCGAAGAAATAGAAATAGAAATAATCTTTATTCCAATAAACTCATTACAAGCACTTTTGAATAGTCATATTTTGATTCTACCACTCATTCGGAATGCAGATTCATCACAAGAAGAACGAGCAAGAAACTTGTGTGTTGCTCTTTTTAATAGATGTTTTTTTTATATAAATAATTACAGTATAACAAGTAAGAGGCATGCGATAATCAACATAGAAGTCGCTACGCACTCATTATTAATGTAATCAGATAATATTGTCAGTGCTATAGATTTAAATTTTTCTATAAAAACATTATTATCGTTAACGAATTCATCAATTTTATAGTAAGCTTTTTTGCAAAGGAACTGTTTTATTTGACATTTAAATCATTTTTCTGGCAGATTTATAACAGACTCTGGTATTTTATTGTAAAACCTTACGCAATTGCCATAAAACGAATTACTAACTTTAGCCAAACGACATTTAGGTAAAATCAGTTTGTTATTGTTACGTAAGCTTTTATTAGTGCAATCACTAACTCTTTTGAAACTGTCTATATTCCTTCTGGCATAGATGATATTTTCATAAATGTATTGAGAAGCAACGGTGAGGATATTTGATTCCTTAAAACACTCTCGCAATGACTCCCATACCATAAATGGAGCGAATGGCCCTCTTTTGTAAAGTAAATATTGTATTTATATCAGCTGCTTTGCCCCATAACAAAATACCATACGACATAATGCTATGGAAATAGCTAAAATAGACAAGTTTAGCCGTTGCCACGTCTGTTAATTGTCTAATTCTTCTTACCGCATAAGCGGCAGAACTAAGTCGACTCGCCAATTTAGTAATATGAGCACCCCATTGCAACTTGGAATCTAATGTGATACCTAGAAATACAGTATCGTCAACAAAATTAATAGATTTATTGTCCAATACGATTTTTGAATCTACCGGCCTTACATTAGGGAGAGTAAATTTGATACATTTAGTTTTATTTGCATTTAGTAGCATATTATTAGCCGTCAACCATATTAAAACATAAGAGTTTTAAAATGGACCGTTTACTTCGTCCATATCATCAATATGTCGATTGACTTTGAATACTAATGAAGTATCATCAGCAAACAGAACTATGTCAGCTATCTTTTCTACCAATATTAAGATTCTATACTTCCATCGGAATAGTATTCACTTCCCTTCTACCGCATTTCATCACATTAGTTAGCCAGTAGGTTTTGATTTATTTGAAAATGCAGAATAAGAGGTCATTTGAGACACGATCATGATGTTGACGCGTAGTGCGTTTCATTCATACCTATAAGCAACGGTTCCGATTACCATGAGGTCGACATTTAGCTTCTTTGTCGTTCTAATTACACAAAAAATATTAGAACAGAATTAATAGAATAATAAAATTCTATGCCATTAGTAAATTGTTGACATACAAGATGAAGTTGAAAATTATTAGATATTTTAGAATAAGCTGGACCTATTCATATTTACTAAGTTGATATAAATTAATTTATACGTATAGGGTCGATAACGCGGAGTGACACTGGTGTATCAGGAGTGTCAGGTATATAGTCTACGGTAAACGTTTGCCATAAGATGGGCCGTATGCTTGATAACCAACATCGTAGGACATAAAAAAAAATATTTTACTCCAATATTGTTTAATATATTAAACGTGTATATACATGTTTTTAAATACAAATTATTTTTAAATAATCACAATTGACTATTTATATAACGACAAATTTATACAATCATACTTATTTATCGTATAGAAAACAGACAAATACATAAAGTTTTTATGCAATTGCAATTTGACTAGAATAGTACAGATACTTATAATGCCAACATTTTAAATTATTTTATATTACCTAGTATTTATTAGGTATTAATACCTATGCATTTATTTTTTCCTATTTCGCAAATAAACGATCTACACACGACCCTAAGAAAGGGGCCACTATCGAAGCATTGCTTTGAAACGCCTCGGATCACTAACTGTTGTAGATCGCCTCATGTGTAGTAAATTTAGGGCCGATAAAGTGATATCATAGATTTTTTTTTTTTAAATCATATCATAATCAAAAATATCATAGATTAAATGATTATACTAACGACCACTAATAGGTTTCCGATATAGTCTTCGCTGTTAGTGTCGTGTGTTGATCGTTTAACACCAAAAAACATTTAAGACATTAAAAATATCCAAAATATGGCATCAATACCTAGTTTTTTTGATACTTCATAGATAAATTACATAATAATTTTTAAATAAGTTTGTAATTACAAACTTATTTAAAAATTATTATTTTAATAATTAGTTTTTAATTATTGTATAAAACTTAATTACATTGACAACCTATTATACACAATTCTAGCATTTTATTTTTATGTTTAATTAATTCTTTAAACAAAACAAATTCTATAAAATGTTATTTTAATGAGAAATCTATTTTAATTTCTAGTATATAAGTAATAATAAGATGACTAGAGAGTAAACTGCTCCGAATAGCTTTCCTTAGTAAAGTAGAGGTTCATCAGTTTCTTTTATTTCATTTTTTAAACATTGACCTCGCATAGGATTATATTATAATATCCAATCGTTATTTCAGATAATGATCAAATGAGAAAAATAATGAGAAAAATAACAGGACACGCCAGAAACGATTGAATAATATGAATAATAAAGTTTCCCCCGTTTCTGTTGGTTAACAACCCAGATAAAGTATTACCATTTAGGTATATACCTAAATATTAAAATATTTAATAATGACTATAATCATATAAACTCATATTACAATTGTTGTTCAACTAGTACCAGTACCTATATAAATAATAAACAACAATTTAATCTATAATATCCTCGTCTACGTCTGTCGACTCTGCTTTTGTTTCCTCCTCGTTGACTCCTTTGGAGTCTTCCTTATTCTGAGTAGTATGCACATTTTCATAAACGCGTTTCAAATTCCTCATAATATAAGAAGTACCATTAACTTTACCAGACCTTAAATTGTTGTGGTCGAAATATTTCTCCTGGCTGTCTACTGAAATGTTTCCAGAACGTACAGGTACAGAAAACGCAGATAAATGTCGAGGTCTTTGCGCGAAATCCCTTGGCAGCCGTTTATCCAAGCCGGATTCTTCTGGTCTAATTTCTTGACTGATATTAGTGTCGATACCTTCAGCTAATGCACGTTTTCTGTCATAAATGTGACCAGAGACGCGTAAATCTATAAAGAAATTCAAAGGATCGACTCCAAATTGTGGATTGTATAGAGGAGGATACCACATAGGCGGTGGTGGAGGAAGTATTAAGTTTGAAGGCGGCACGGCTGTAGCGGGATCGACGGGACTTCTGCCAACGCAAGGTGCAGGTTTTGGTAACTCTTCTGTGCCAACATCAACGTACGAAGATTGTCTACCGGGTGGCCCGGGACTACCGCTAGGCTTTGTCTGTTCTAACTTCGGAGACAACCTTCTAGGTGACGGTTCACGCAACCTTGGTTGTTTTTCTACAGTCAACTCCAGTGGAACTTCGGGTCTACTCTCTTCTTTTCTGTCCTCTTCAGGTTTAGGCCAGTCTCGTCGCCATTCGTTTTCGTTCTCGGCGAAATATTTATGCGAGCGACGCTTAAAGCGACGGTGGTAATGAGGTGGGCGGCATCCATGTCGCGCGTTAACGAATGATCTCAGCATCTCACTAAAGAAGAATGCATGAGGTTGAAGGGGCAACGCGCTGTAAAGATACGGCGGGGTTGCCGCTAACAGTCGGGATACTAATTCAGTATTTCTTAACTCTCGAATATGTGTTTTAGCTGACGTCTCCGTGGGTGGTTTTTCTTCTTGCACTGAACTCATTTTCTGGAACAAAATAAAGAAAGTAAGAAAGAATAGAATCAATCTGCAAATGAGCGTGAGCGCTGTGGGGATTTCAATAGGATGAGATGCGAGAACTGCGCAGAGAGAATGATGTGCTTTTACATTTCTCGATCACGAAAATATTTTTATTATATAAGTACTTACAAGTACTAACAAGCCTACAATACCTAATTTCAAATTAACAACTTTTCACTAAATGCATTTGAAAGAATATGCGATACTAACATCAAAATATAATTAAAAAATTTTTGTCTGTCTATCTGCTAATCTTTGAAACGACTGAGCCGATTTTGCTGGACTTTCACTCACAGATAACTAATGTGAAAAGGAGTAATTTAGACTACTTTTATTTTAGTAAGTTTATTAGTCTTAATAATTAAAAAGAAAGTTTAATGTCTCTCTGGACAAAGTCGCGGGTAACACCTAGTTTGTATATATCTTATATATAAATTTCTCGTGTCACAGTTTTCGTTCGTTCATACTCCTCCGAAACGGCTTGACCGATTCTCATGAAATTTTGTGAGCGTATTGAGTAGGTCTGAGAATCGGCCAACATCTATTTTTCATCCCCCTAAATGTTAGGGGAAGTCCAACCCTTAATTTTTTTTTTTTTCGACAAAATTTTTAGTTTCTATTTTTTTATGATTAAAACATACAAAAATACATACAATCCTAAATTTTCACCCTTCTATCATCAACCCCTATTTTTTTATAGCGTTATTAATTTATATGGCAAAACAACGTTTGCCGGGACAGCTAGTATATATATATATATTTATAATCTATTTATGACCGAGGTAGTTTCTGAAATCATCTTGTATCCATGACGCGAATACTGTTGTATTCCATTTCTATATTGAATATTTTGCATTTCTATTTTTTATAATGCGAAATTACAAAATAAATATTTTAAAATAATATAGAAATCGTATGGTATAAGCGACCGTCGCATCGCATCGCCCCGCTGTGATTCGAAGACACTCGGACGGAGATTATCGCTGGCTCTCAAACATACAACAATGCCTCGCGCCATTATACCTAAGTACTACACCGTTCCAAACTAAATGGGATTTCGCTACATTACAAAACTGAAATCTACTTAAATTATCAGTTTTAGTTAGAGTAACAGTACCTACTATAAGTACAATGTATAAGCGTACTATTAAAATCTGTACCTAGTTTATTTACAAAACAATTACTGAAATAAAATATGGAAATATTTGGTTTTAATCTAACCTTACTTACCGGTAACTGAAGACCGTACAATTATATATATATATAATTATATAACTATGAATACATAAAGCGAAAAACAATATTTTATTTATTCAAAATGTTAACCTATGTGTTAACATTATGGACATATATGTGAATCAGTAGTCAATGCAATGCAATACAAGTCAGTAATCATTTCCCAAAATAATCAAACATTATAAATAAGAATGTGTGTCAATCTGTCCGTCTGTCAGTCACTTGGAAGGAAGTGATCTTAATGAACATAAAGTCAGTATATTTACGAGTACGGGCATTAGATATATTTGATCTCAAAAGAAGTAAAGTTAAATTATATTTAACCAATCCAAAAAGGCAACTCACTATAGATATTTGATTAATTTCAAATCTATAGACTGAACTGGACAGTGCACCGTCCGTTATTGTATTAATATTTTTCCCCGTGGGATTATATATACCTATATCATTACATAAAAACATTCATTAATATTCAATAGCAGCTAAAATACTACATTAATAAATAATTATTGAATGTGATTTTGAATCTGTGGAGCAATTACAAGTATCTATACTATAAATAAAATTGGAGCGTCTGTCTGTAATATTGAGATAACCGTTTTTTATTAATATGAATATTATGAATGTACTGTGCATATGAAATATATATGTAAATACGGTACGTAAAACTTTTGACTGTCTGTCTGTTTGTTCCGGCTAATCTCTGAAATGGTTGGACCGATTTTGACGGGACTTTCTTTTGGCAGGTAGCTGACGTAATAAGGAGTAACTTATGCTACTTTTATTTTAGAAAAATAAATTTCCACGCGGACGAAGTCGCGGGAACAGCTTAGTAGAAAATAAAATTGGAAGTTCATATATATATGACATAACGAATTGCATAGTGATACCGTACAAATATATATGTGTATATTGTGATAAGCGATTGGATACCGGTTCGTCTGTCGACATCGATTTTTCAGCTCAACGCAGTTTTATTGCCAATATTCGAATGAAGCCGATACATCCGCAATCCAAATAGGCCACGGGTTCGGTTTAACGTTTCTTTTTAATTTCCTTGTCTATAGAAGCGGAAATTTGTACTTACATGCATGCATTCCCAGCGTAGGCTAAAAAATGTTACAAAAGGACTCAAAATAAAGTTTATTTCAATTAAGATTATTCCTATTCTATTTTATTTACGCCGCCATTTTTTTTTTTGTACAATATCAACTAACTTGGATATTTAGTTTGATTACTTTTGATTCATGTCTAACCAAATCTTTAATGCAAACTAAGTATATTTAATCATCCTGGCAATCCTTGTTTCATAGTGAAGCTGCATAAAAGTTGACCGGATGTAATGTAGTGTACAATTAATTAGCTATTTACTCTACATTGCGTAATATATACCATTTGGAATAAACCTCACCAGTATGTATTAAAATTTTGTTCTAGAAGGTTCGACGCAGACATCAATCCTCATAAATTTTATTACTACCTCAATTTTTGTCTGGAACTAAATCGTAAAATCTGTACCAGTATTGTAAAACTAAAGAACGGAAATTGCTATGAGGAAAGTAAACTCCAAAATTATAGCACACCTTTGAGAAATTCTTTCAGTAATGAAAAGGTGTATTATTGCAGAGTGATAGAGACTATCTATGCAAATATATACAAAACTCACAGAGTTATGAGCACCTGGACAAAGTTTTCTTAAGAAATTCGTAACAGTTAGTCATATGCATACATCTTATTATCTCCCTCCTCCCACAAGTTATATTTGTAACATACGTATGTATACGTAGCTGCGCATAATTCAATCAACAACAAAGGATTCTATCCATACATACTGTAATAAAGGATCCCTCAATGATAGGAATTAAATGTCACATTACCATATCGTCGAACGACAAGTGAAAGCGATACATCGGATTTGTGACAAAGGGGGGTGTGGGGTGCGCAAGGGGGAGATTGTTCACAATAAATTCAGAGTGGCGTATCTCTATTCAAACAGTTGATACGCAGTGGAACGGGGATGAAATCTTACGTACGCGACGATGTGCAAACATGACGGGCTTCATACCCCCGCGCTACCCCCACGCTATTTAAAAATGTGGCAGCATTTTAATCGTTACAAGTCGTATGCCATCTGTGAAAAGTATGTACCTACCTAGTTTTTAAATAACAACTATAACTTTTGGCATAATACTTTTGTGTTAAAATTAATAAAACTTTTGTATAAGTTATGTTTTAAGCGTGACTGTTTCCTTCAAATGAATACTGTAAAATTACTATTAATGCACTAATTAAAATAATAAAATAGTAACTCAGTACCTATACATTTATAATCTCTATTTATAGTACATAGCGTCATCATGACCACCTGACCTAACAACTACAACCTGTGTTATAATTCCAATTACAGTACCTACATAAGACGTTGTTTTTTGTCATCGCATCTTATTATGCATTATTTATTATTATACAGTATTTGCTAATTTTAATGTTACTAATATAATTATTTTATTGTGTGTCATATTAAATACTTATTGCCCAGGTTTCCTCTAGAGATTACTGCATGGGGTTTTTCAAGAAGAGTACATTAGGCTTAAGAGCCGGCAACGAGCACGTGACACCTTTGGTTTTTCAGGTATACTATCAGATAGGTTGTATCCGTGTTTGCCACGAGCGTGACTTAAATAAATATGCTAATGATAAGAACAAAGTAGCAAGTATATTAATAATAAAATTAGGTTAATACGAAGGTTACCTTTTAGATTTTTTGTAAATATACAGTAATATTTTTAATATGCATAAAATGCAATAGCCCATTAAGATTTAATACTATTTAATACTACCGGATTTAACAGTTACATTATAATCCATCCATAGCGTGAGCATAACAACAATCTGACGGCGTTTGTAAGTAATTTGAACTTTATTCCCCAGATCATAACGTCGTCATGTAGGGAATAAAAAAATTAATATTAAATAATACACTTGTCGGTGTGTGCATCGTCACACGGCAGCTAACGTTAATTTCCATATTAAAACCGTCACAAAGGAAGCAGATTCAAAAACCACACTGACGGCGGCGGCAGGGCGGTAAAGGTGGTCGGGGAACCATGAAACGTACCTATTTGGACGCGGTAATAGATATTATGTATGTTATGCTACCTGTGTGAAATGTGGGAATGTGAAAAAATTATCAATTATATGAAAATATTAATTTCCCTTCAACAGAATTTAGAAATAATCTTTATTCAAATAAATTTAATATAAGCTCTTTTCAATAGTCATATTTTTATATAGTCATATTTGCAGACAGACAGAAGAAGAGCAGAGCAGAAGTTACAGTTAAAGTTAAAGAAATATACCACGGGGATTATATCGGTGATAGACCTTTGGCACTTTCCATCAGGTTACCCGTCAGCTTTTTTGCCTTCCAGTTAGGAATTGTGCAATAAAAACATTATTCAATTAGAGCTAAAACATAAATCAATCAAACAAACATAACATAAATCAAACATAAATTCAATTAAAGCTAGTCCTTAATAAACTGACATATAATCGAAGTCATCTCAAAGACATGTCCACACATACCTAAAAATCTGCGTTCTGTTCCCTGAAATTTTTTTTACACTGATCTTTTGATCGTTTTGTATTGTTTGGGATCACACGTAATGACATAAACTATGTTATTATGTCGATTTATGTAATGTCCACATTTATATATATATATATATATT